TCGACCACATCAGTTTGTTAGTAAATGTTTGTAAATGGTTAAAAGAGGCACCAGAATAAGGCATGTTAAATAATTTTACCTGTCTTATTTACTCATTCAGTAAAATTCACAAATATACAGGGCCACGGAAGTACGCTCACTTATACCCTATGTGTAGTGCACCTGAGATTAGTGACAACTTTGATCCATGTGCGTACATATTAAAAATGAAATAAATTATTGTTATTTGAGGAAAAAAATCAGAATTTCAAAATGTTATTGTATTTATAAATATTATCTTCAATCCACGACCTTTCTTAACGACCCAGTATTAAATATAGAAGTGAGTTGGTCACAATACAGAGCATAGCTGCCATGTGCTAGTAGGTAGGTTCTGAGTTATGTGGGACTCCATGTAATATGAAGTATGAAGCATACTGCGAGGTTTTGGGCAAGTGGATTTTGAGTTGGCTGATGCGTTTGTGATATACATCACAAGCCCTACTTATGTATGATGTATTAAGGAATAATGTACGGTGTATTTCCCCCGAAGATGATATTGCAGGTCTTCAATTTCTCCCTAGCAGTTGGTAGAGAATTAATTTTTTTAATACTCTGGTAGGGGTATGTTATGATAGAAATTGCTTCTGAGCTTGGACCTGTCTTAAAAAATATGCCCTTTCTTGGAATTTACTCTTGTGAAGATGAATTACATCTTTATGTACATTGCTTAAACTTTGTTGTATATGCATTGAAATAACATTTGTATTTGTCAACATTTTACAATTTTACACTTTTAATATATAAAATAAATATATTTTTCTTTGTATTTTTTAAACACTCTCATGTGTCTAATACCTGTGCATCACTTTTGATTGGCTTGTAGGTGTTGGTAGTCAGAGTCTACAAGGAAGTGCAGATGGATCAGCAGGGACATCATCACAAGGTAAGGAGGAAACTTCCGTCTTGTTACTCGTACTAACGCGTGAGAGAACCTGGTTTTGTATTTTATTTAAAAAAATATATTATTTGAATTGTTCATGTAGAAGAGATATTACTCTGTAAAAGATCAGAGCAGTTAAGCAATCTGAGGTTCTCGTGGTGGTAAAAATATCAAATGTGGCCTTGTGGGTTGTGAGACACTGTAGTCTTCATAGGTGGTTACTAGTTTCGAGGAATGTATCGTCTCCATCGCTCTGAAGATGAAACTGTGTTCCTCCAAAATGTTGGTAACCATCTACAAGTCTATGCTGTGTTGTAACCCGGAGCTCACAAACGAGCATTTTTGTTAACGTACGAAATATGACTAAAATGTAAGCAGTTAAGATGATCTTACTTATGTCCAGATATTATTGAGAACTGGGTTGTTTTTCAGTCTTTAACATCAGTTTTTCTCACCTGTTAGATGTGGCTGTTAATGTAAATAGGTATGTCATAACTTTAAATATATTTAAAATAAATATTTACTTATTTTCTAAACTGGTTATTTGAAAATGAGAAGGGTGATATATGTGGCACATACCTGTTGGACATAAATAGCCTTTTATTGTTGAAATGTACAGTTATTTCCATATAAATATTCTGTGTTTGTGTGAGAGGTGACAGAAAGGAAAATATGCAATAAATAATTTGAAATTGTTTTAATAAATCATCCATAGTTCATTCCAGTCACATAAAGGAAGTAGGTGAAATAGTTACATACAAAATGCAGATAGTTGCTTCTTCGAAAGGCTGTGCATAAGCTACCATTTAATTGCAGTTAATTAATTTGAGGTGTTGCTTATTACAACATGGCAGCCAAATTTTGGAAAATTTGTTTATTACAACATGGCAGCCAAATTTTGGCAAATTTAAAGTTGCAAAAACATATTAATTATTAGTGCTGAGTATTTGCGGTACTTTTAGTTTGTGATTTTGGGGTATTTTAATTTAAATTTGCTAATATTTATCATGTATACAATTTGAAGATTATTAAAATGTGTAGATAAAGGATAAAAATTGGAAATGACTGTACAGCTGTTTTTTTATTCTGTAGTAATAAATGTTGTGATGTTTAATTTCTTTGGAATGTATTGGAAGTTTGTGACTATTTTACATTGATGGCTAGCATGGAAGTTTAGTCTTTTTGTGGATCTGTTTTATACATATTGTACTTATTAGATATAATTTGCTAAAGGGTCCTTAGCAACACCAGTTAAATTTTTCTTAGAAGTTCTTAATTGAAAATATCAGGAATTTAATTTTTGATAGTCGTATTTTATAGACAAACTAGAGGCAACAATCGAAAAAGAACTTATGGGTCAATATATACCTCTATGATTGCTTGAAATGTTTTTAATCATATACGTTTTACTTTACTTTAAAGTGAAGTACTATTTAACTTGATAACTTTTGGAAAGTGGGCATTTTGAAGAGAGTTATGTAATGAGAAGAGACACAGGAGTTTATGAAGAAAGCAATAATCACATGTTAATTCTTCCTTTTCTTTTCTTTTGTAGTTTTGAAAGTAATAGATATAAATACCTAGGATGAAACCATAAACATTATAAATCTTTTGAAAGTGTAAATTGAAAGTAGAAAATGAGTCTCTAAATTATGTATGGATAACACATTTTAAATATAACTTGCAGACTTAACCTAGAATGTGTACCTGTGTACCATTCTTTGTTAGATGGTTGTGTCTGGTATAAATTAGAGGAATTTACTACCCATAATTCATATGTAAACTTAAAGTTTGTTCCTAGAGCAGCCTGATTTTCCATGTTGGTATATTCAGTTTTCACTGAACCCACTTTCTAAAAAGTAATTATTTATGTAGTCATATATATTTTTAAAACTTTTATAGTAATTTTTAAGTGCTATTTGTGAATGGGATGCATTGACTTATGACTTATTGGTAGGTACATTAGTTTCTAACTTTGTTCATTTCTGGAATTTACGGAAAAAGTTGAATTTTTTATTGACATCTGAATTATAGTTGATGCTGCTGTCTTCATGTAGAATTCGAAATTCAGATGCCAGCATTTGGTGTTTAAATATATGGTATATTTTGCTTTACAAGATACAAGTTACTGTGTTCTGAGTTCCATTTCTGATTATGTTAGAAGACTAGATGGGGAATTAGCACATTAAAATGGATCTTAGGGAAATAGGGTGGGAGGGTATAGGTGGAATTATTTTGCTCATGTGGGCTTTTGTGACCATGGTAATGAACCTTTTGCTTTATAGAAAGTTGGAAATCTCTTGTATAGCTGAGCAACTGTTAGCTTTTCAAGATGGGATCTGTTCCTTACAGTTCCTGTGATAATAGCACATTGAACTCCTAGATTATATGCGAGGGCATTTCTAATGCTCTAAATTATATTGTGGGTGACAGTTCTTGTGATTATCAGGTGACAGTGGTAGTTTTCCACTTTTCAACAATTATTTTTGTGGTTGGGGGGGGGGGGAATATGCAACATACTTGTGGTTACTAGGTTTATACTCTTGAAGGTCAGTTGTGTTTTTTTATCCTGCCATATTTTACTGCTCTCCATGCCACGGCCACATCTGTGGGCTCAGTTAGGGAGATGTGCTGTTAATTCTACTACAGTCTTGGGAACAGAACTGTAACAAGCAAAGATTGGGACACTGAATTTCTTTCTTCAGCAACTGTGGGAAGGACATGATCATCATGTAGTAAAGAAATGTAGTGCCATACATCCAGTCACTTTCAGGCCATCCAATTCCCGAAGAAGATATGATACTGTTGGCATCCTCGCTTGGAACTCTTTTGAAGTTGAACACAACCGTGGATGGTGCTAGCATTCCAGCTAGATTTGCTGTGATATATACACACATTCCCTTTGTAGTACAACTCTGCCCTCTTTTGTTTTCAGGATAAAATCACCCTTATTGGGTCTTCTGTGTGTAGCTTCTTTTGCAATGAGGTATTCATTTACTTAAGAAAACCACCTATGAAGCTGCTGTTTGTTTGTGTTTGCCTGTAATGCAGTCAGATTTTGTTATTCTTTCACTCAGTTTTGGATTTCTCCTTAGTAAAACATTCTGTTTTCATCTTGGTTTTGGTGCAGTAAATGGGTTTGGCCTGTTAATTTCTTTAATTAAATATTCAGCAATGCCAATTAATTGTTCTTTGATGTTGGGTACTGCGTATTTGCAGTTTGAAATAAAGTTCTACCTTTGTGGAGGAAATTACAGTCAAACCCTTATATGTACATATATCACTTCTCTGTGTTGCACCCATGAGAACCTACGAATAGAAATTCCTTACATAATTTAAAAGTGAATCACCTTATAAAGTGCCACCTCCACTAGTCTCTTGTTGTTTTGAGTCAGTGGTGGAATTGTTGACATTCTTAATACAAGTAGTTAATGGTAAATGAACCTGCTAAAAGGAGGGGTGTTGATTTGAAAAGGGAACGTTACTGAGAATAAGCTGCATATAATGACATATTTACAAGAATTATGATAAAACAGTTTCAGATCCACTTTGTTTTTGCTGTTTGAGAAGAGTAATGGACTCTTCCATAATGAGAACGTCATCTGCACATTTTCTTTGTGTAACTAACATAGTAAGCGAAATGCACTTTGGTTTAAATATAGTTGCTAGAACTATCATAAAGTAAGGAAGTTAAGTATAATCAAAGTATGTTGTGTTTGTGTAACATGAGAAAAAGGGCGGGTTTAAGTGTTGGTGAAAAGTATGTGTGTGCTTACAAAGACTAATATTCTGCTGCAAGTCAGCAAAATATAGCCAACAGTTTTCCTTCGTATGGGATAAACCGAGTGTTGCGTTGGAGATGTTTTCAGAGAGATAAGAGATCAGAGAATAAAATGTGAACTTGTGAGATAGTTGAAGGTTGCAAAACTTGGCCATGAGATTGCATTAGTTATTTGAATGGTGTAAGTAAGGATTAATACTGTGTAAGATTACTATTAGAAAACTTACTAAATATGGATTCTTCCTCTACAATTTTGCCTTTTATTCTGCCCTCAGGATCATAACTATAGTATTTCACACACCATCTGGCGGTTTACCGCCATACCCGCTTTAATACCAGTATTGGTGGTTGACAAAGAGTTGCTCTCTTATGGGGTTAGACTGTACTAAGCAATATGGGATGGTTGTTGAATTATCTTCATTTATGAAGTTATGTAATGTTTATTTATGCGTTTGCATTTACATTTCTTGCAATGTTGCATTTCAGCCTGTCTACTCTTTCTATATTTACTTGTTATATGAACTAGCCTCAACAAGAAACCAGATAGGGCCATTGAAGAGACAGAATGGTTGAAGAAATTACCAATTTCCTTGACACCTTGGTTATCATGGTGATCTCATTTGTGTATTATTGATAAACTTTGCCACTAAAGGTGCAAATTTACGTTAGTACCCATATTTATCTTCTCTTGTATATTTATTTCCATATAACTTCTACATTGAAAATTCTTATTTGCATGCCAGTAGAGTGCATAGATCAGTAATATGGTTGTTTTTGACTTTTAATGTGCTATTTTATCACTGCTGTCTGGCTTTTCCACAATATGTGATTATTATTTTTTTGGACATAGTCCATCATCATTGTTTGTGCAAATCCAGTGTTTAGGCTCAACAGCCACTTTACCATGAAGTCATTGACCACTGCCAACTCTGATGGATTCTACATTAGTTTGTTCCTTGTGCTGGCTTGTCATTTTTCATTCAGCTCTTTGGTGTTGTGGCCTACTCTTTTGTTGCTGTATATTGTCCTTGGTCCTTGAGATCATTGCAGTTTGTAATATGTTTTAGGTCCTCTTTGTAATATTTGACTCTGCACAATGTTGCAGCAACACTTTGTAAAATACATTCCGTCCTATGGTTTTCATTACTTGTTTCCAGAAGTTCGAGATATTGTATGCCAGTTGGTGACATTAAATGAGGGTAGGTTATGAATATAATGTTAAATGTGTGTCAGTGATGAAATAATACCAAGGAGTAATAGCATGAAATGTTGTCATTGGCTTTATTATAGAAGAAATCATATTAATTGAATTGTGTTACGTGTGAACTGTTGTTTGCAACTGTAGAAAACAAGGAATTGTGTACAAATGTATACATGACATGGCTCAGTACATATAAATTCACGTAAAAATAGTTATCCTTAGAAACGATAGGTGCTTTTGAATATACTGTGATAAATTTATTTCATACACTCCATATACTCCAGTTCTTTTGCAGAAATATAATTGTAGTTGCTTACAGTGTAATGATATGTGCAAGAAATTATGTCTGTTGATGTTGTATTTGTCTTCTTAACTTTTATTGGAAGCAGCTATTGCTGTGATTATTAAAATCTGGTTTCTTGATGTGTGCTGAGAAAGACTTTACCTTATTTTCTGCAATTGTATGACATGGAGACCATTGATCTTAATAGAGAAGTGTTTTAATGTCAGCCTATTTGAAGTATTTCAAGCTAAAGAATAAATTGTCTGATCTCAGCACTTCTAAAATGGTGTGGACACAATAGCATTCATAGTCAGGAGGGCTGTTCCTTCGTACAGTACCTGTCTTGCTACTTTTGCATATTTTGGTAATGTTTATAATTATGTTCATTACATTTTAGAAGTACAGTTGTAAAGAATAGAAAATATTGATGTAATTATCATTTGCATTGAAATTGTTGAAAACAATGGGCATTTTGCTGTTAAAGGTAAGGAAGGGGCTACTTAAGCAGGGTGAAATAGAAATCTAATTATTCTCCAGTTTTGCAATACGTGCTACACTTTGTGATTATTTTACTATTGAGCATTTTGTTAAGATCATTTGCAGTCTTTGTGTAAATGGGGGGGTTGGTTTCCCCGCCATACTCAGCCCCTTCCTTTGCTCGTCTCGTTGCAGAGCTACTAGGAAGGGGCTGGGTTGGCAGTGGCAGTGGTGGAGTAAGTGGTCCTCCGTACTGCCCTCTGTGTCGCAAGAGCTTCACGCGTGCCTGGTCCCTTCAGCGTCACATGGCCGACACTCACTTCTACGTGCCGCAGAGCTTCGAATGTGATGTTTGTGGCCGTTCATACCGCTCGCGCAACAGCCTTGTGAGTCACAAGTCACAGTATCATGGTGGCACCTCTGGTAGCAGGGCTTCCTTGTCCAAGGAAGCAGTTTCATCTAGTGACAATGATAATGTTTCAATCAAAGGAGAAAAACATGTTAGAGGAGAAAGTGAATGAATCTCTTGAAATTTATTATATTGAATGTGTCAGCTGATCATTGCCTGGGGGCGTGAAAGTAGATTTTATACCCAGTGTAGTGCTTGTCTTCAGGAATTTTTAGATTGTAGATGTGAATTCGTATTGGATACTCATAATTTTACAGTTCATGTTCTGGTACCTTAAGAAATAAATTGAAACTCAAGAAATGATTCATTGCGCTTGACATGATGTCAGTTTTCAATATCTTTGTATTAAGATGAGCTGAATGGAGTATGTAGCACACACGAGAGTGATGAAAATTGCAGAAAACCCCCTGAACCTGAAGGGAAGAAACCACTAGGGAGACTGAGGCGTAAGTGGGAGGATAATATTGAAAAGAAAAATAGGGTGTGATGATGTGGATAGGGACTACTGGCAGGCTCTTGTAAACATAGTAATGAATCTTTGGTTTCCATAGAAGGTAGATAATTTTTTGACACACGAATAGACAAGTTATTTAGTTTCTCAAGATGGACTTCACTTCATGGAGTTAGTTGCTTGTAACAAGAGAGAGAAACTTATATTGTTGCATGTCAGCAATACATTCCCTTGTTATTAAACAACCTCTAAACTAGTCACAGATAAATATCTATTTGCTGACATACTTTATCCATACTGAAATATTCAGAAGAAACTAACTTTAAAAAATTGTCTCGACAAAAATAATGGTATCAAAACTTTTAATTGTTGCTTCTGTTTTGCCAATGCCTTCATTAAGGCTGGCAATAGCAGTCTTTTTACAGAAATATAAAATTAAAGAAATTATAGCAAATGTGGCGAGCATCCACTTTTATCAATCCACTCGTTTGTTGCAGTCTGGAAAACATAAACATCAAGAAAATTTGTCATTGTAACTCATGTTACTCCTTTATTTGCCCTGGTATAATTTCTTTTACATGTAGCTGAAGGAGAAGCTTCATTTTTTTGATTGAAGATTTTGTATGCACTTCACCAATATTTCTATGATAGGGGCTGAACCTATATATGCCCTATTACCAATTTAAACCTGTTTTTAAAATGTAAATTCTCTGGTTTAAAACATATTCTTGTTAGAAAAATACTTCTTTGAATGTAGCATTTTGTTCAATCATTTGTCTCTGTTTTCATTTATTGCATTTACCAATCTTGTAAATGTAATAATCAGCACAAATGACAGTGTACCGAGGCATAAATTATGTTTCCTTGTACTTGGTTTAACACACTTTACATCTTAAAATATTTGAAATAAAAATTACAGGGCTTAATGAGCTCTGTATTTTATATAACATCACCAGTTATTTGTATGAGGTATTTTTTTAATTATTGCTTTCAATTGAGGCATCATTTGGTGAGAGTGGGGAATCTGAAGTGCAAATGCAGTTTGCTTCCATACCCTCTTCCATGATTATGTCATGTTAAACTTTAGTTTCACTGGCATAATTACTATAAACTAAAAAATTAGACCTTTTAAAATAAGTAGCACTGAGTATTTATAAATAGGTTTAATATTAGCATTACATCTGAAAACATAACTGTAAAGAAAACAAAGGGGATGACTGAACATTTACAAACTAGAGGGCATGCTTCTTTTCTTAAATTTTGTGGCATTTGAATCGCATGATTTGGCAGGTATTGTGTACATCAACATTCATATATCAACAAACTATTGATAACAAAATATGTGCAGCTTCAGGCAGCATTGTCTTTGAAATGGAAGCAGATGTGCTGGAAATATAAAATCACCCTAACTGGATTTTGTGTCATTGTGAAATTTACCTCAGAAGAAATCAGTTTATTACAAGAAGTCTATATTTTTAAACACTGCTTGCAAGTATGAGGTAACAGTAATGAAAATTTAATAATTATTACTGTGTAAATATATCAGTACTCTGTAGATACACTGGTTTCAACTTAGTTGACTTTCCTCAGAAAAAGTTGAATTGGCTTTGATTTTTATACATTTACGTTACATTTACAATATTCTGTATATCTTCTGATATGTACGGTGTGTGGTTATTGAATTTTCTGCCAGTAACAGTGATATGTTTCATAATTTGTTTTTATGTTAATGGAATACTGGAATAACCTTTTGACTAGCAGTTTGATTTCTTGTGCCATTTATTCTCTTTTAAGGTATTATTTACATTTTTCACAGTTGTAAGAAACATTTGATCTCCAACATATCATCTGATTTATCAAAAGAATTAATTAGAATTACACACACGCTTTTTAGTACTAAGTTTCCCATTTTTCATCAAGTTACCATGTCTGCAGCAGTTTGGGAATGACCAGCTTTTATCTATTTCATAAATGGAAAACGCAGATGGTTAAATCTGAAATAGTTGCATCAAATGACCTAACATGACATTCTAAAACCAAACAGATGTAAGTAAAATGCACAGTAGTTAACATCAAAGTTACATGTGTATTATCAAGCAGTTGAGGTACCACAATTCTACAGTTTCACTCACTTTGTAATTAAAACCAGTGTGTTTACCTATTGAGGCGTTCTTTAAACACCTGACAGCAAGTATGTTAAGGCAATATTCTTGCAAACATTTGACGCAGGAGTTATGGAAGAAAAACAATTCAGCCATAGATGCTGATAATGTGAGGAATATTATTGTTTTTTACTCAAGTCACTATGCTGTGCTGAATGAGACTGAAGTGTGTGAAATGAGATGATAGTAATGTTTGTGAGGAATGTTTCATACCGATTTAATTTGCAGAAAGTACAAAATCATATAGGTGTACTTGAGTTGTATGAAATATATTTCATATTGTGTGTATCATGTAAGAGCAACAGGTGATAGATATCTGATACCATAGTTGGTCTTTAGGAACCATGGACATGTTGCTGTAAATATTCTAGCAGGTAGTCTTCCACACAGTCCCATCCATATAATTCATTTACAGATGAATGAATTTTTTTTTTTTACATTGCAACTGCAACATCAAATGTTGACAATACTCAAAATAGCAGGCTTATATTCTCAGGAATATTGACGAATTGCAGTATTATTTGTCAGGTTGTCATGTTTTATTTTGATATTGTACCCCTATTGATGATAATGGAGCTGAAAGAACTTCAGTGGAGATAATGGTTTAGTGTTAGTGTTGGCAGATTAAGTGTTGAGCTTTTGTTCTGTGGTGATATTGGCCCAGTCAGAGAGTCTGGCTGGTAGTGTTATGACTGTGGTAATGAGATATGTGGATTCACATATATTCATGAAGACTCAGAGGAATGCAGAATAAATAAATTCTCTGCATTGTATGAAAGATCTGATTCATGTGTTAGGTAATTTATCGTAATTGTTTAGGTTGTGTATTGTTAGGTTGTGCATACTTTCTGAACTGTTATGCCTGTATTGTAATGTAAGTTACTGTGGATTGGTGTTACAGAAATCAATACTGCATAAGAACTGTATAAACTGATTAGAGAGACTCTTTTTCATGCAAATTATATTACTTTATTTTTTCTTGTTCTGATTTTGGAAAATTTATACCTGAAGTATAAATTATTTTTTTTATTTATGATCTACTTTTAATGATGTAATAAATATATTTGTTTGAATAGTGTAGTTTCCATTGCTATTTTCTGGTTTCAGTATTCTCTCCCCCAAACCCAAATTTGGATTGTATAATTCTGCTGTTCCTTGCTGAGTCATTGCTCCTCACCTGTTACTTCTTACTTCAGTAACTGCTAGGCTGTAGTAACTTACAGATATTTAGAACATTATATGTACATACATGAGTTATTCATTTCTGTTGAATGCAATGTAGTGTGTAGTATTTAATTAAAAGTTTTTAATGTATTTTTTTTTTAATTTTAAAATTTTCCAATGGAGAAAGTGTCGGCGAAAATATTGCAGTTCTTCGGTGCCAGGAAAAGGAAGAGTTTTGTGGAATAGACTCAATGCTAGACAAGGAATGCATGAATAACGTTTTCAGTACGGAAGAGAAATTCAATGACTTTGACACCTGCTTTGAAGAAATTTACCTGAAGCTTTCAGGGCACTTCACTATTCATGCAGGATGTAAGACAGATCAGGTCAATCAGCCAAAATCTGTTAAAGGTATAACCACGAAGAACTACAATTATACAAAGTATTATGCTTCCATACTGTAAAACAAGAATGTGATGGAATAGGTGGTGTCAAAAAGTGGTTCTTGGTGAATTTATTGTTTTGTAATTTATGGTTTTGATCAGACATGGTTAACTTGTATGGTTAACATGGCTACACAGTCAAAACAACCATTATCTGACTGCAGAAAAGCTTTTTATGCATCTTCTGTTGTCACTATGCAAGGCTTGCTTAGAAGTAGGTTGCACTTTGAAGCTCATCTGTAAAATAAGGTAAGTTGTAAAATGCATGGGAAAAATGGGCTGTGATTTCATGTCATATTCAGCTACTGTTCTGCAATGATGCTATGGTGTTTAGTCCAACAATGAAATAAGAAAATTGGTTCTTTTCCTTATATCATGCTTCACCTTGTTTAGTGTATTATTTACAATTTATATAATGTGGGTTGATTGCATATGAAAGAATTTAATCTTATGTGGAAATGGAGCTTATGCTCCAGCCATAAATTTCAGTCCTTGTTTAAAAAATTGTTTACCATGTGTGTTTGAAAATAGAGGTAAATGATCATGCTTTCTTTAGTATATATTTGTCATTTGACTTCTGTTTGTGGGGTTTCATTACCTGATGTTTCACTACCAAAATTTCATAAAAAGAGGTGAAATTAGTTCTTGTGCTTAAACATCATGCCATGAAGATGTGTTGGGGTTAGAGGTGTAACTCTGCATGTTCCATGCCTTGACACAGGTGTGTGGCTGCTTTATGCTCTGGAAAAGAGCCTGTTGCAAATTGAATCTCTAGCCATCCATCCTGCCATCAGTCTCTTTTTATTGGACTCTTTCAGTGTTCTCCATTTTCATAAAAATTAAATAAATACTAGCATTAGAGAAAGTAAAAGGTTTCTGCTGTAACACCATGCGTATTATTATTTCTTTGAGATTTATACATTGTCTAATTGTTTGTAATTAGAACCACAACATTTTAGAAGTTTGTTTTACTGATCACAACCTTGGACCCAGGTTTCATTCTTCAGAAAATGGAAGTAAACGCAACTACAAAAATATTTTTGGTTTTAATTAAATATACTTTGATAAAGTCCAACAGAATAATTGTACAAATAGTTGCATACTTTTCAGTGATTTCTTGTGATACAGCATTTCAAGACCCTACAGTGAATGGTGTTGGTTGTCCTTGCACCTAACATGTTTGTATCATAGTCATTTTGCTCATGAGAGAAAGTTAAAAAGTACAAAGGTGTGAAGTCTTCTGTTGCATGGAGTTCATACCATGTTTTATGAGTATTGTCCTTTGTAATCGAATTAGGACAGGCATGTAGCTTGCTCTTATGTTCCATAGAAACTGAAAGCTTAAGGTTAGGCTTTGTCTACATTTCTTGATTGCTTATACTGTTCTGTATCCCAAATTGTGTGATACATGTGAAATGAACAAGTAGTTCTGTATGGCCATATAGAAGTAATAAAATTTGGCATTTAAGAAGAAAAATAAGTTATTTCTTAATGGTAGGATTGTGACTAGTGATTATCACTGTAAAGACTCAGGCATATCTTTGCCTTCATAATTAATATTTTATACTGCTGCTTTTGAATGACTTCTGACAAACATCTGTAAACCCCCTTTTTGACCATCCAATTAATGGGGTCTTGTACATCAGACAGCAACAGAATTTTTCTTTTCTCTTGGTTGCAGCCATGCATGCAGCTGATATCCCTTCCACTGTTCAGGATGTAGATGTAAACAAGGATGGAAGGGGATCCTTTACCCTACCAGAAGGACTAGACACGTCAAAACAAGCAGTTTACAATGTACAACAAGGTGTAGAAGGTCATGTTTGGGAGCAAAGAGGCACTTTTTGCAGTTTTCGTAATTCAAGTAACACACTGGTAATTGGTGGAGGGGGCACTTTACAACAGCCATACTGCAATATCTGTAGAAAATCATTTTCTCGTGTCTGGTCATTACAAAGGCATATTGATGACATTCATGGAACCAGTGCAGGGAGACAATTTATTTGTAGCATTTGCCAACGAGTGTACAGTTCAAGAAGTAGCCTCATTTCACATAAATCTCAATTCCATGCATTGCTGAAGAACAGAAATAAGTCTGTGATTAATTAGTACAAACTGTTATGTTATGCTTGTTGTGATACATGTGTTTTATTAATTTTATAAGAACACCGTTAATACCATACTAATTCTAGAGGAAGTTACCCTTACTCAAAAATATGAATACAACCTGGAATGAAATTATTCAGATGAAAGAGTAAAGTTTGTTATGTTGAACGATGATGTAACATGTGCATATTTAAGCAATAACATCATTACTGTTACAGAACAACTTATGGGCACTAACTCAGTAATGAAGGATATGTCTAAAGACAGTCTATCTGTAACCGATTAAACGCTGCAGTATAAAGTAATATTATGCCAAGAAGTAATAATGTCCACCATATTAATGAATCAGCTTGTAACAGTCTTGACAGGAAGGTTGACATTTTTCCACTTGGCAACATGTATGTTTTGTAGACTGTGAAGCTGAAGAAAGACATCTCCCAGTGGAGCTAGAAGTAGTATTTCTGTTTATTTCCTAGTACTGTTGATGTGATTACTGGCATCGCATATACACAGTTAATTGTATTATTTTGTTCTTGAACATGCTTGAGGAGGTGTGTGTGTGTGTGTGTGTGTATGTGTGTGTGTGTTACTTAAATAGGCCTGTATCTTACGATGTTGGAGATATGAAATCCATCAGTTATATTTATTGCTTTTCTAACACACATTACATGTCTACATGGGCATAATATATGAAAAAGATAAGTTTTGTGTAATTCCATGGTCATTACTAACTATGCTTCATGTATCCGCATCCTGATACAGTACATTTTCTAGACGACAACGGCTGCGAAGTGAACTGTAGTGTGGGCTACCCTGGCTGAATGTCTGTTTTATTTGATAGTGTTAAATGAGTTAGCATTGTAGTTAGACATTAAATTTGATATTAATGTAGATCACAAACATATCTTCATATTTTGCATTAAATCTCTTTTATGTTATTATATTATAAACATGGTATTGGTTTGATAGTTTCAGGTTATGTTCAGTAACTTTCAGGTTATAGATGTCTATATGACATAAATTATGCACAGAAATATTATCATTCATTTGTAGCAGAAAATAATGACCAGTTACTCTCAACTTATTTGAAAAAAAATTATGATATGTTAGGGATTCAAATTGGAAGTCTGCCATCTAGCAGAAACAGTGTAGCTAGGCATTTTCTGACACAGACATAGGATTGACATTGCAGTTGTATTACCATCTGTTGTGTGCTGAAGGTTCGTGACCAATTCATCTTGCCCTATCATGATTCTGCAGTTGCGAAGTGATCTCCTGTACTGCTGACAAGAAGACATCCCATTTCATAATTTAGTTAGAATACATGCATTCACTTGCTGGTGAATTAATATTTGGATAAAATTTCATAAATAAGGAGTTTCATAATGACATTGTTCTTCTGGGTTATGGTACCATGTAGACTCATTGGTAGATGCATTTGTTTCAGAGAAACATACTGTCTTCATCTTCAGGGCTGAAGATGGAGACAGTGTACTTCTCCAAAGCTTGGCATCTACCAATATGTCTGGTACCAAAAACCAGAAGATCATTGCCAACCTCACCACTGTGAAAACCTCATCTCAGAAAGAGCGTCATTTCTCCTCTTCACCAGATATTAAGGCTATCATAAATGTGAAGCTGCGGACTAAATTCATTCAGTTTAAGACAGAAACCAATAGTGGGATCTTGTAAACATGGTAATTAACCTTAAGATTTAATAAAAGGTGGGGAATTTTTTGATTAGCTGAGTGACTATTAGCATCTTAAGAAGGATTGTACTTAATGGTATTAGATTGATGCTAATTTATATAATTAGTATCTCGTATTGAGACTTCCTGCCATTATCATTAGCATTGTTGTAGATATATATAATACAAATGGGAACAAAAGGCCTGAAATTTCCAGATCCGCTTTGAGCAGAATATTTGGACACCTAAGAATTCTAGGAGAATGATACCGGTTTACTAGTTTGTCAATATAAGTGTGTTCAGAAATACTTTGTAAAAATTGCCGTGTTTGCTGTGGTCTATAGGTTTCTCTGAAACACTTCACAATTCTTGAACTAAATGACAATAGTTTGTTATTTAGGAATGATAACTACCTTTTGTGGAGAAATTGAGTTTCATTTTTAAATTTCTTTAGGATCTATATAAGCTATACAATTTGCTCATTGCTATTTTAAAAGCACTGCACTACGCCACTGTGGCAGGCCGGGAACTAATTAACCTCCCGTTGTTGGTTCTCTGTTGCTAGGTGGTGGTGTGCGGTCCCGTTCATTTCCCCCCGGTCGGTCTGCCCTGATGACGATGTCATCGTCCAGGCGTGTGGGTCACGGTGGGTGGGGAGGCGAGGGTTCCGGGCGACCCAGCAAGGGCAGTCTGCAGTGTCCACATTGTGACAAGTGTTTGCTGAACAGAGATACTCTTGCCAGACATGTGTTGCATATGCATCAGGAACCACTGTATGCTTCCAAGTGCACACTTTGCAACCGCGAGTACCGAACCAGGAATAGTTTGATGGTGCATATGAGTCGCTACCATAGGAAGAGGGACACTGCTTCTAGCTTGGCCAGTGCTATGTCATCAGCTTGGGAAGGGAGAGGAAATATGGAAGGAGGGGAAACAAATTAACCTTTTCCTGGGGCTTGCAAGATAGTTGTGCATGAGACAGAAATGGAAGGAACCACCTTGTTTATAATAATGTCGGTAGGTGTTCAAATAAGCTAAAAATGCAAATCTTGATTAACTCTTGCTCATAGAATTTTACATTTCTTCATTTTCATGACGTGTTCCTTAATCCTTAAATGTGTTCATTAATTTACACAGCCTTTGCACTTATCATTGCTGTTGTCATGTGTACATATACAGGTAGATGCACTTGTCATTCCATGTGAAATCCTCTTTCTTCATGTGTTTAACTCTTAAATAACTTCACATTATATACTCAACATACCTAGCTGCATCTATTTCACTTCTTGTTAAATTAATAAACATTTGGACATACTTCTGAAATTCTTTAAATTGTAGTGTGTGCGTGCACATGCATACACTTGTGCACATGTGTGTTTGTAATTGAGTGACATTGTATGGTCACAGTGTATGACTGAGCTTTCAACCGTAATTGAAAGAAATGGAGAGAAGTGCCATGGTACAGCACCATTGGGGCACGTTCATTGTTGTATTCATTTGTACTGATGTTTCAAATCACAGTAATGGATTTGATAAATGTGAATATTCCTCTGCATCTGAATATATTATAAACGTGTTTGTTATATGAGGTGACTAAAACAGGTAGAATGATGGTTTATTTGGTCATAAGATTAAAACAGTTCTTACGTCTATAAATGTGATTTTTATAACAGTTCTCATAGAGATAGATGGTATGAGAGATGCATATAGGATTTTAGTCACAAAACCTGAAGGGAGGAGAAACCACATAGAGGATCTAGGTATAGGTGGGGGGATAATTAAAATACCTTAAAGAGATGGTATATTAGGGCATGGAGTGCATTCATTTGGCTCAGAATAGGAATTGTATTGGTCTCGTGCAAATGTGATAACAAACCTTCTGTTCTGTAAAGGGAAAGGAATTTCTTGACCAACTGAGCAAGTATTAGCATCCCAAAAAAGGGTTCCACTTATTTTAATACTAACTTGCGAAATACAGACACACTACATGGTACAACAGCCTGGAAGGCCGCAATATTCATACTAGTTGGTGTGGAAACTTGAAATCTCAATTTTTTTTATTTTTATTAAATATTTACTGAAAATTAAATATTTAATGTTGTTAGTGACAAAGTTTGTGTGGGCCACACATTGAGAACCCTTGACTAATAGTTTGCAGCATTAAAATCCTGTCTTGGTCTGTGAAAAAATTACTGTTCGATACTCACTTCATATAGTTTCCTGCAAGCACGTGATTTATTCAAGTGTAGTAATATTATTTTAGAAGTCTATAATTGGGTTGTAAAAATGTACAAGTATTTGCATTATTAATCATTCAAACTTCCATTATTGAGAGAGCATGATATCTGAAATGAGTTTTAGTGTTTCCAGTCTGAAACACTGGGATGGTTGTGACTGAGTTACTAGTTGAATACTAATGTAAATTGGGCTTATGAAATTTCTCTGTTCTTATAATTCATGATTATTTTTGCCATTGGAGGGTATAAGTTTACAGCATGCTGTCATTTAAACACTGTATGAATATTTTTGCCTCAACGGTTTTCCACATATATTAGGAGGTTTTGAGGGTTAGTGATTTGGAAAGTTTCACAGCACCATATTTATTATTCAGCTACTTTAATTTTGGTATGAGTATTCTGCATAGTGAGTTTATTCATACAGCCGTACCTTTGAACCGGGAGAAGAGGTCAAGAGATTTGAAAGTAAATCAGTCCCTAATACTCGTTATTCTCTCTCTCTCCCTGGTCCCTAGGTGGTGTGGCTGTACCAATGTGGTTGCCAATGCGAGAGAAAATCCAAAATGAGCTGCGTTTGGAAGCAGAAAGGGGATTCGTGTGCGAGGAATGTGGGAAGG